AGGGAGTAGTATAACAAAGTAAAAATAAAAACGAGTAGAGAGTAAATTAGTTGGAAAATGCCATTTTTTCATTATATTTAAGTAAAATTACCCTAAAGTTCGATTTTGTATCCCAAAAATACAAAAAGCAAAAAACTGACAATTTGAATTTTGCTAATATTGCTTCTTTTCTCATTTTTGCAATTACGCAGATAACMGTTTTTCGCATACAAGAGAAGCCCGAAGGCGAGGCACAGGAATTGGATCAGACGATATTAACGGCGCTCTTCAAATCGCAACACTTGAGCCCACCGGAACAGCTGAGTTTGGCATTGACATGGAATCGCGTTGACATCGCTCGCAGCGAAATTTTCGTCTACGGCCAGGAGTGGCCCCATGGTAGGTCAATACTGTGTGCGTCAGCACGGAGCATAAATAAGTGGATAAGCAACGTATTGCACGTACTTGTTGTTTTTTTTTTTTGGTTTTGTTTTGTTTTGTTTTGTTTTGCTTTAATTTTTTGTAAATTTTTTCTCATTATTGCTACTTTCTTTGTTTTGCCTTCCTTCTTGTAGGTGCTCTGGATGAGGCGATGATGCAGGCACTCGAACACGACAGAATCGATTTTGTGAAATTACTTTTGGAGAATGGCGTTTCAATGAAGAAATTTTTGACAATACCACGCCTTGAGGAATTGTATAATACAAAACATGGTCCAGCCAATACTTTAGGGTAGGTSAAATTTATTTTCTSTTTCGCATTGCTTTTAATTTTTATCTAAATAAGTACTTGACCAACGCCACTAAAGAATAGTTCTTGTAAACTACACGTATTTACTATTACAAACTCAACATTCCATTCCATGTATGGCTGATATATTACTGGTTGATTACACATTTAAACTTTCTATGTTGTTGGCAATACCATCCCTGCTCTCTCCTTCATTCTTTCGGAGCAGCTCCTTTATAGTATGGGTACCAACCGCAATGATCGGTTCGAGTCCTACAACAATGGTGATAGACGGTATGATAGACTGTTCAACCGTTCTAAACACTCCTGCACCAGTAGCGGTTTMAGTTCCGCTTGACTGTCGCTGAGTATGACTATGCACGCGATAGTCGCGTTGGAAGCTTTTCTCTACCCACTTCCCATAGGTATGGAAAGTTTGGTGCGTGGTTCTGCGAATCCTGCACCAATTCCTATCTACGTTTTCGAGCCGTCGGTGTACCACTGGATTGTACTATCCCTAAATAGTAGCTCGAGAGCGTAATCCATTCCATTCAGACTTGCTGCTAATGGTAAACTTAAACTTCTTCATGAAGTTGATGACGTGGGTAATGCAGTCCCTTGGTATTTCGTCACTTAAGTCCTTCATACGTTGGGAAGACATTACCTTCTGTCAAATCCATTTGAAGCAGTGTGTGTTTGGCTACCTGACCGATTACTGGCTAAAGCGGTGTGAGTTCCAGCATAACTCTAAGTGCCGGCGTGTGCCATGTGCACATGCACCCGACATGCAGATGCAGSCGAGTCGTAGCAACTTCGATAGTTGAAGTCCTACCGAAGTCTGCCATGCTTTCGAGGCCCAAGCTACCGTTTCATATGTGATAAACGGTCACACGATCATGGGGTACAACCACATGATAATTTTTGGCTTGCAGACCCAAGATTTGCCAGCTAGTCGATTTCGCACCATAAATACTTTAGTAGCTTTGATTATAGTCAGGTCAACATGTTGCTTCCACCGCAGAGTGGAATCCAGCGGGAAACCAAGGTATTTGACCATATTAGGCATATATATCTCTCTACTCCCAAGGGCTAGTTCCTGAGGTTGATATTCAATCCACCTCCATCATCCCTTAGCAAGGCCTCCTTCTTACCTTGGGTGTGGTCCTCAATGGTTCCGGGATATATGCCAGGGCAGGGCTATCTCTAATCACTTAAATTGTCATATAGACAAGTTATTAGAGACATAATGAATTTTTTTSAGATCGCCACTAATGGCACCTACATGTTATAGTAGACCGATATAATCAGTTTCGAGAAATGAGCAGCTGCTTGTTAGGAAAATATCGGGTGGGAAACTTCAGATCGATATCTCAAAAACTGAGGGACTAGTTCACATAATATACAGAGAGACGGACAAATAGCGCAGCTCGTCACGCCGAGTTTTACATATTATATATTCTTTACAGGGTATCTGGTGTTTTCTTTTTGGTAAATCTTTGTACTTTCAATATACCCTGCTCAGGTTAAAAAAAATCGTATGTTGGTAGGAGCTAGAGCAAAGCAAGGTCTTACATAGTGACTGTCTCAGTTCATTGTCATTCAT